TACAGTTGACATGGTAACTTACAACTATGTGATTATTAACAAACTGCTCAAGAAAGACATCTTCACACCTTATAACAAGTTGCGAACAGTGGCAACAGAGGGAACTCTAACTGCACTAACAGTTAGAGTCACGGCCAGAACTCTTGTCAAACCTGTTTCGAATTCCGTTTCGAACATCTGCTTAACACACACTTTTTGTGTATGTTAAGAGAGATTCGAAGCCTCAGTTCATTAAAAGAATTTTGTCCACCACTGCATTTTTGTCTTTTTCACTACTACTTAATATCAGAAAACGGCAATCATAATACTGTATGGAACTAACCAAACATATAGCAATTTATAATATACTTGAAATAGGTATTCATATCAACTATTTAACATATTGCAAGACCGTAAAGTGAGAAAAAACGCACATGTCTGCGCTTTTTGAGTGAGACCTAGATTGTGTGACGTCACGGCCGATCTGTCAGGCCTTCTCTTTCGGTGGCCGTTATAACAGGGACTTAATCTGGGGGGGGGGGGTAGGGTCACTTCGTATGCATTACCATTACTTTGATATATGTCATTTGTGATGGAGAATAACAAAAATTAACAGATATACGACATTAGAAGGAATATGAATTGCAAGATTGGATAGCTGTGTGATACTAATAAAAAATACCTTATCATTATCATTACTATTATCGTTGATATTGAAATTCTTAATATGAACGCGGTATTGCCCCTTCTTTATTATCTGTCCATGACGATGGGTGAAATCAAACTTATTGAGTTACCTATCAGTTGTAACGTTTTCTATGAATACACTTCCAATTTTGTTTTCTTTGGGTATTTTAGGACAAACTATTATAAATTTGACCTTTAGTTTTTCCTCGTAAACGATAAATGAGATAAAATAAATGACTGCAAACAATTAGGGAGGTGCAGCTTAATTATTTGTATGACAAGTACTGACGTGATTATAACAGATGTGTTGATATGACAAGTTCTCACAGTCGCTTAATCGACTTTCATTAGATCATTGTTAGTATTTTTAAAACGGATTTTGGCTTATTTCACTTAAAACCGTTTTCTCACATAGGGAGGAATGGATGAAAAAAATAAACAAGAGAGAGGGATGAAAGAAATAACAGAATAAAAAGATTAGAAAGAAAGAAAATAAATTATCTGTCTTGAATCTGAATGTTCCTGAGGTTAAATCTTGGATGCTCTCTGTTGAGAGTGAATTCCGCTGGAGGGGAGGAGGAGGGGAGGAGGAGGAGGAGGAAGAGGAGGGAGGAAAGAAGAGGGAGGAGGGAGGAAAGAAGAGGGAGGAGGAGGAGGAGGGAAGAGGAAGGAGGAAGGAGGGAGGAGAGAGAAGGGAGAAGGGAGGAAGGAGAATGAAGGACGAAGGAGATAAGGAGGAAGGAGGAGGAAGACGAAGGTGAAGAGAGGAAGAAGAGGAGGGGAAAGAAGGAGGAGGACGGAGGAGTAGAAGAAGATGGAGGAGAAGGAGGAGGAGGAAAAGGAAGGAGGAGGAGGACGAAGGAGGAGGAAGGAGAAGATGGAGGAGAAGGAGGAGGAGGAAAAGGAAGGAGGAGGAGGAGGAGACAGAAGGAGGAGTAGGAGAGGAGGAGGAGGAAATAGGATGAGGAGGAGGAGGAAGACGAAGAAGGATGAGAGAAGAAGGAGGGGGAGCAGGATGAGGATGAGAAAGAAGAAGAAGAAAAGAACAGGAGGAGGAGGAAGAAGAGGAGGAGGGAGGGGGATGGAGGATGGAGGAAGAGGAGGAGAGTGGAGGAGGAGGAGGAAAGGGGAAGGGGAGGAGGAATAAAAGGAGGACAAGGAGGAGAAGGAGGAGGAAGAAAAAGAGGAGGAAGAGAAGGAGGAGGTGTAGGAGGAGGAGGAAAGGGGATGGGGGGAGGAAGAATGGAAGGAAAAGGAGGAGGAGGAGTAAGAGGGGGAGGGGGAGGAAAGGGTGGGGTGGAGGGTGAAGAGAGAGAGGGTGTAGGGGGAGGAGGAGAAAAAAGGAAGAGGAAGAGGCGGAGGAGGAGGAGAAGAAGAAGAGGGAGGTGGAGGGGGAGGTGGAAGAAGAAGGCTGAAAAGGGAAGAAGGAGAGGAGGAGGAGGAGTGGGAGTAAAAAGAGGAGGAAGAAGAGGAAGAGAAGGAACGAAGAGGAAGGAGGAGGAGAAGAAAGAGACCGGAGTACGTGTAGAAGGAGGACACACACACCACACACACACACACACACACACACACACACACACACACACACACACACACAAACACATAAAGATACAAAGATATTCACACACTCGCACATACCATCCCTGGATACGTACCAACGTCTCTAGCTACAGAGCCTCATCATGCATCTGCCTCACAATCCCCTTGTACCTGAACCTCACCTTCACCATGACAACTGCCAACCCACCTCCAAGTTCCCTGCACCGAGTCCTTCGCATCGGAGAACATCCCGATGGATAGGTCGAAATCAAGGGAAACTACGCGGTAACTGCAT